AAACCCGACCCGGGACGCCCATGGATTTTTGGCGTGGGAACGACACGCTTTCCAATAGCAAGACCCTCGAAGCCCAAGTAACCAAGGGCACCCTGGAGGCAAGCAGGGTGCTTCTTGGCATGGGCCCCCATTGTTACTGGTGCAAAGAGAGGACGCTGCCCCCCTCCCCCTCCCCCCCGAAAGCGCACAGCTCCCGAGGAGGAGGAGGAGGAGGAGGAGGAGGAGGAGGAGGAGGAGGCAGGACGAGGAGGAGGAGGAGAAGGAGGAGGAGGAGGAGGAGGAGGATTAGGAGCAGGAGGAGGAGGAGGAGGAGGAGGAGTAGGAGGAGGAGGAGCAGGAGGAGGAGGAGGAGCAGCAGGAGGAGGAGGAGCAGCAGCAGCAGCAGGAGGAGGTGGCACACGCCGGCACACGGCCCCCTGCCGGAGCAGGAGCAACCTCGGAGCTCAGCGCCCCTCTCATAGGGACTCCACTGACGGGTATAGGTGCTTTGGCCAGTGCCCTGGCGAACCCAATCCTCCCCGATGTGGGCAACGCTGCAATGCCGGAAAGAGTCCCTAAAATGGCAACCTTCGGCAATTTTCCTCAGCCCCCGTTATAGTGAATACCCGCTACGGTGCCGCTGAGCAGCGGGAAACCAGAGCGGACCGGAGAGCCTGCGCCGGATCGGGCTGCATGGGCACGGAGCCGGGACCGAGCCGAGTCGGCCGCGCCAGGATGCCCAGCAGCGCCACGCAAGCATCGGGCCACGTCGGATCGTCGGAGCATCGGGATCGAATCGGGTCGGGAGGGCCGAAGTCGAGTTGTCGAGCCGATCGGCTCGAGCCAGGCCTTGCCCGCGGCGCACCAGGCCGAGAGCCGAGGGGCTGCCGCCGCGCCGCGGGCACCGGCGTCTGCCTCGTGGCCGGGAGCCTCCGAAGCCAAGGCCTCGAGCCAAAAGGACTACGCAGAAAGGGGGAGGGGGAGGGAGGGAGGGAGGGAGGGAGAGAGGGAGGGAGGGAGGGAGGGAGGGAGGGAGGAGGGAGGGAGGGAGGGAGGAGGGAGAGAGTGGTAGGCGCCGCGATGTGCGCCAGGAATGCCACCAGGCCCAGCCTCCAAGAGCCCAGGCCCACGCGGTGCTTGAGGCGGAACCCCGGACCAGAAGTCCAATGCCTGGGGGACCCCATCCTTTTCCTTCGTCTCCTCCTTGTCCTCCTCTTCCTTTGTCTCCTCCTCCTCCTCCTCCTCCTCCTCCTCCTCCTCCTCCTCCTCCTCCTCCTAGTCCTCCTCCTCCTCCTCCTCCTCCTCCTCCTCCTCCTCCTCCTCCTCCTCCTCCTCCTCCCCCTGCGCTCGTGCTGATCGCCTCCTCCTACTCCTCTTCATCCTCCTTCTCCTCCGCATCTTTCCTCGTCTACACCTTCGCCTCATCTGTCGCTGCCTCACTCTAAAACAGTGCCAAGGTAGCCCGCAGGAGGAGGAGGAGGAGCGAGACGTTAGGAAGAGGAGGGGGGAGGGGGAGGAGGGTGTGAAAGGTAGGGGGACGGGGAAAGGGAGTGGAACGAGGAGAGCGGGGACGGTGGAGCAGTGTAACGGTGGAGCGAGTAAATCGTTTAATCAATGTTACTTGCTTGTTGCGTTGTTCCGCCGTTTTCTATTTTTGTCCCAATGTTAGGTTTGTGCTTTATGTGTTTGTGCTTGCTGTTCCCTGTGCTTGCTTGGTTTTCAAACGCCCACATACCGTCCGCATAGGACATCTACTGGCAAGTTCTCGACAAAGGGAATATAAGTGTAACGCCATCACATAAGAAATGGGTTTGCAGATCCTTCATAGAAAGAGTGCAGGGGGGAGGATGGGAGTTTGGAGGATGAGAAGCAGAGGAGAGGATGAGGAGGACGGGGGAGTGACTCCTCAACCTCACCCTCCTCCTGCTCCTCGGACTCATTTGGCACTCCTTTAGAATGACGACGCGACGGAAGGAGAAGACGATGGAAGCAGAGGAGGGGGCGGAGGAGACAAAGGAAGAGGAGAACGAGGAGGAGACGAAGGAACAGAAGGAGAAGGACGAGAAGGACGAGAAGCATGAAGCAGACCCGTGATGGCGATGCGAAGGAGTGGGGGGGTGGGAAGGAAGAGAAGACGAAGGAAGAGGAGGAGACAGAAGAGGAGGAGGAGGAGACGAAAGAAGAGAGAGAGAGAGAGAGAGGATCTAAAGGGAGCGCAGCGCGAAAACGATGCGTCGCAGAAGCGCGGGTGGGAGCTGCGACACCCCAAACCCCACTCTGCGATAGAGAGAGAGGTGAAGACCCGCTCGGGGGGGTGGGGCAGGGGGGAGGGAGGGGGCAGGACGAGAGGGAGGGAAGGAGGGCGCAGGCAGGAGCGATGGGGAGAGAGAGAGAGAGAGAGAGAGGCGGGCCTGGACCCCCCCCGGGCCATGACCAAAAATAGTGGCGGGAAGCTCTTCTCTATTCTCGGCCTCCCGCGGCCCTTACCTCCTCCCTCCCTCCTTCCAACGTCTCCTTCCTCCTGCACCTGTGCAGCTGTACATTCCGCTGTAGCTTGTTTCGCCCATTTTGCCCACGCGTCCGCTAGGGGTGCACGGCTTCAATCAGTCAGGGGCCCGTACCTGGCCTCGGGACCGGCAAGAAACGAGCCAGGATGAACAACCGGTCCCGGGGAACGGGTCGAGACCTCTCATAGGGTCGACCTCTTGGGGGGGAGGGAGTTCGGTGGCAACTCACGGGAGCCTCCCATGCCATCTTGCAGGCTCTTGCGAATCGACGCTAAATCGGCGCTAATCGACGCTAGTTGACGCTGAATCGACGCTAATCGCTGCTAAGTCGCCGCTATCTCATCGACTCCCAGACGCCAATCGACGCTACTCGACGCCAAAAACGGCCCCCATGATTGAAGGGGCCCCAGGACACACAAATAAATACACACAACAAAAAAAATATTCCCCATATTTCCCCGTATGTTTTGGGTGTTTTGTCTTCCCCCCCACTTCCCATATTTTCCCATATTTTCTGGGGAATCGACGATTTATCGTGTCTGCGTGTTTTTTTCCCCTCCTGAATGATTTGCTACAAAGAAAGGGTCTGGGGAATGATCCGCATACGGGCATGACGAGGAAGGGGGAGGGAGGGACGATGAGCCGGGACGAGGCGCAAGCGGCGGAGCACAGAGAGGCTGGCCGGGGTTGAAGCCGAGGTCGGCTTGCTGGGGACGGAGGCCCCCCCTCCCCAGACCTCCGGCGCCCCCCTCCAAACACTTGGCGCACCGCCGCCCGTGGAGTCGCGCGCGAGGGGGGGGCCCGACGCGGCCGCCACGGGTGGGGGGGCGTCGGGGCCCCTGGGCTGCCGCGAGCCCGCAGCCACAGCGCAAAACTATAAGGTACAACGTGGCGCCGGGAGATCGCTCCACGATCGCCGCTCGGGAGCCTGGGCCTATAGAACGCTGGCCCCCTGGCCCGGCGACATAACGACGCGGTGTTCGCGCAGGCTGCCGTAGGAGATCGACTCCAGAGCTGATTCACCCCAAATTTAGATTCGCCGTCGTCGAAGCGGCAGAAGCTATGCAGAATGTTCGCACGTTTGCGAACATTTCTGCACATCCCCCCGCAGACTCGACGAAGAAACGAACTTTGGGGTGAGTCTATCCTGCCGTCGATCCCGCCCTCGAGGCGCGCGCGCACCGAGCCCCTCCGCCTCCCGCTGCGGTCAGGTCGGGCATGTCCCCCTACAGGCTAGCAGGCGGACTTTGGACGAGCACAAATTTTAAAGTAGCCAGCAAAGACCCAACAAAGGCACCGTTTTTGAAGTAGCAAGCAAAGACTCAACAAATACCACAACAAATGTACCAAAAACATCCGTCCCCAAACTGTTGTGTTACTACTCCTTGGATATATTCCTCCCGCAGAGGCACGCGTGCCCGACTCCACGCTGCGGCGCCCGAGCGCCCTCACAGGCTCACCCTGCGCGGCGAGCCGCGGCCCGAGGGCGGCGCGGGCGCGGCGCCGCCGCCGCCCGCGCCGTCGACGCCGCCGCCGCCGCCGCCAGCGGCGGGCGGCTGCGGGCCAGCGGCCCGCCGCGGCGCCGAGCAGCAGCGTCGCGGCGGGGCTCGCTGGGGGCGCGGGCGCGGCCGGGCCGGCGGGGGGCGCCGGGGCGACCGCGCCCGCGCCGCGCCGCGGGGCCTCGCCGCAGGCGCCGCCCGGCGACCGGGGCCGCGCCGCGGCGCCGCGCTCGGGGCCGGCGGCCTGGCCGTCGACGATACGTCGAGGTCGACGATGATGATGATGATGATGATGATGATGATGATGATGATGATGATGATGATGATGATGATGGTGATGATGGTGATGGTGATGGTGATGGTGATGATGATGAAAATGATGATGATGATGATGATGATGATGATGATGAAGGTGAAGGTGATGGGATGTGATGGTGATGGTGATGTGCTGATGATGGTGATGGTGATGATGATGATGATGATGGTGATGGTGATGGTGATAGTGATGGTGATGATGATGATGATGATGATGATGATGATGATGATGATGATGATGATGATGGTGGGGGTGATGATGACGACGACGACGACGACGACGACGACGACGACGGACGACGACGACGACGACTATACTTCGACGTCGACGGCGACGCCGATGACGAGGATGATGATGATGATGATGATGATTATGATGATGATGATGATGATGATGATGATGATGATGATGATGATGACGATGATGATGATGATGGTGATGGTGATGGTGATGGTGATGGTGATGATGATGATGATGATGATGATGATGATGATGATGATGATGATGATGATGATGATGATGATGATGATCATGATGGTGGTGATGATGACGACGGCGACGACGACGACTAACGACGACGACGACGACGACGACGACGACGACGACGACGACGAGGGGCGCGGGCGCCGGCGGGGTCGTCGAGCACGGGAGGGAGCCCGCGGCAGGCTCGAGGGCGCCGGGCGCGGGCGCGGGCTCGAGCTCGAGGTCGGCAGGCCGCCCGGGCGCGGGCGCCGGCGGCGTGGAGCCGGGGCGCGGGCCGGGGGCCCGGGGGCCTGCGGCGGCGGACTGCAGGTGCGCGTGCAGCTCCTGGGCGTCGCGGGCGAGGAAGAGGACGTAGGCGTCCTCTCGGAGAGGGGCCCCCTCTGCTGCGTAGCGGCGCCTGCGGGCCCCGATCATGGGGGCCCTGCAGGCCTCAGCTCGCGTCGTGGGGGCATCAGAGCGAGGAGTGCTGCCAGTCTTCTGGCCCCGAGGCCCCTCGCCGCGCCCCAGGACCGTCGAAGAGCGATCGCTCTTCGACGGCGTTTCATCCCGAGTCGACTCGGGATGAAACCTCGGCCCTGGGGAGAGGGTCGGGGGTTCTGGAGACCCCGCATTGGGAAAAACAAGACATCGCATGTCTGGACAAAGACCTACTGTTTGACCGAAAACCAAAAAACATACTTTTCTAAACTATAAAAACATAGACACACACATGCTGAACAGTACTCAGAAGATCGTCCGCAGACTATGTTTTGACTATCTGTCAATGCTCCTCCTGTGGAGGCACACGCCCGACTTCCACCTGCTGGCACCGTGCGCCCCCCTCGGAAGCGCAGGCCCGCGCCGAACAGGCAACGCAGACCTCGCACGACAGCACATCGCTGCCAGGGCGGCGCGGCCAGAAAGCGCCCGCCGCCGAGCAGGCACTGCAAATTTGCACTCCCGAAGCGCGCGCGCCGCGCGCCTGGGGGAGGGGGGGGGGGGGGGGCGACGCGCACACTGCGCAAGTGCGTTTTTGGGGCGATGCCGGGCGCCTTCGTCAGCACGTTCTCGACGTCCCGGAGCTCCTCCACAAGGCTGGACCTAAACGGTGTGTTTCGTTTTCGCTTTGTTTTCGTGCTCCCTCGCTGTTGTCTCGAAGCCACCTTGACCGCAAGACGAAGCCGAAACGGAAACGGCCCACGAAGTTCACCAAAAACACCGTTCAGGTCCAGCCCCGCTCCTCCACGTGGTCGTCGTTGAAGACGTGGAAGGAGCCGGTGATGGGGTGCTTGCAGGTCGCGGTGTAGTGCCCGGAGCCGCAGTTCCCCGAGTGGTTGGCGACGCCGACGATGCTGTACAGGTGGGAGCGGCCCTCCGGATCCCTGGCGAACCTTAATGCGGGATGACGATTTTCTAAAAAATGAGAGAGAACGATTGAAAACATAGTTTTCTGCTATTTCTGCATAATTTCCTGACTGGAGGAGAACGATTTAAAAAATAGTTTTCCAGCCCGCGGCCGGTGTTTTCTAATCGTCATCCCGGGCGCCGCCGCGTGAAGACCACCCCCGGTCATGTATTAATCGTCATCCTCCGTTAAAGGAGGCAACTCGCGGGAGGCCTTCGTGAGAACGAGCCAGGGCTACCAAGCCCGAAGAACGTGCCGCTGAGCAGGATCAGCCCAGGTTGATACCAGGACTCGGTCCGATTGGGCAGTAGGAGTCGAGTGTAGCGGAATCAAGCAGGATGCATGCCCGATGAGTCTTGTTTTCATCCACGGACATACCAGCGCCGGTGCTGAATGAACCTCCCAGGAGTTGCATGCGAGGCGGGGATTTATCCATATCCACCGCCTGGGAACCGACGTCCTGGTGCCCCAGCGGGCGGTGGATATGGATATATTTCGGCCCTCGAGGGCCCGAATATGTCCATATCCACCGCCTGCCGAGGCTCCGAAAACTGAACCTCCAGGCGGTGGATATGGATAAATTCCCGCCTCGGATTGCATCAGAGCGAACCTGGACAGGTCCACCGTGAGGGGGGACTTCAGCTCCACCTCGATCTTCCGGAGCCCCTTCCTCGCCGGATCGAACGCGAAGCGCTTGAGGTGGAGGATGAGGACGGGGGGCAGCTTCCAGATGTCGATCTTCTTCCTGGCGTTGACCCGCCTCTGGCAGCGGGGGCACCTCCACTGCTCCTGGCCCGAGAGGGTCTCCTCCGCGACATACAGGCTGAGCGCGTCCTCCAGGCTCCGCATGCCCTCCGCGAGCGGCACGGAGATCATCAGGCAGGGCTCGAACGAGTCCGACTCCTTCTTGCACCTGCAGCACGCCAGCCGGGACCGGAGCTGGCCCTGGAAGAGGTCGACCAGGAACGACCTGTGGCGCCTGAGGTGCCGCGTCCAGGCCAAGTCGGCGGCCCGCGCCTCCGAGGGTGAACGCCACGGGGGGGTGTGCCAGCTCAGCGCGGGGGGGGGGGGGACATCGAGCTTGACTCGTCGATGCGTCGCCGATAGATCGGGGATACGCCCCCGATGGCGACTTCGCGCGTTCCCGGGCGGTGTGGGATATCGGGCCCCCATCGCCGATCCATGGGCGGTTTGGGGGTCGATGCAGCCCAACCTGGGCCCATCCCCCCTGACTAGGGCGCAAACAAACCTACCTCGCTTTTGACCACCCTCGCTTCCAAGAGATACCAAGCGATGCCAAATTGCAGCATGTACTGGTCAGGCCGCTTGACGAGGAGGCGCGTGGTATGGCTTGGTTTTGCCTGGAAGCGAAAGCGGGGTAGGTAGTTCACGCTCTGACTGACGTTGCCCCGGAGCCTCCCGCCCCTTCGAGGCGGCGCCAGCGGCGCCGCCGCCCTCCGCTGGGCCCCTGCTGCCGCTGCGCGGCCTCGCCCTGGACGAGGCGGCCCGCGGCGGCGTCCGCACCAGGTTCAGGTCCTCGTGGAGCCCGTCGAGCAGGAAGGCCAGGAACTCCTGGACGTCCTGCTGGCGCATGTCCTCGAAGAGGTGGGGCGCGAACCTGGACAGCGTCGTGTGGAGGGGCCGCGGCGGATAGGCGCCCGAGCTGCGCTGCCAGAGCTCCTCCTGCAGCTTCGCAAAGGACCTGGCGAGCTCCCCGTGCGCGGCGCCCGCGGGCCCGCGGCCGCGCCGCACCGCCTCCGCGTACTTGCCGGACAGGAAGTAGAGGCTCAGCGGCTCCAGGTGGCTCAGGCACTGCAGCCCCGCGTTCATGAAGCAGGTGTTGCCCAGGTTGCTCAGGCCCACCGTGCCGCCGCGGCTCGCCACCAGCAGCCGGTGCGCCCCCTGCATGAACACGTCCCAGCACGGCTTCGGGGCCCACGGTACCAGCTCGCCGCGGGAGCCGGCCCTCCGCCGCGGCCCCGCCGGCGAGGCCGCGCGCGGCGGCCCGCCGGGGCTGCCGGCGCCCTCCCCGCCGCTCGCGCCCCGCCGCGCGCCGCGCGCCGCCGGCGGCCTGTCGGGCGCCTCGCCGCCGCCCGCGGGGGCCGCGGCGGCGGCCTGCTGCAGCTGCGCTGCCGCCCGCCCGCTGGCGGAGGCGGCGGCCTCGGGGCGCCGCGCCGGGCGCGGCGGGCCCCGAGGGGGCGCGCCGTGGGCCGCGCCGGGGCCGGCCGCCATGGCGCGCCCAGCATGCGGGGCACCCGCTCGAGCCGAGGTGTGCGGCCGGGAGCGCTCGTGGAGCGCGTCGCGGCGGCGGCGGCCCCGGCGACGCGCCGAGTTGGCGTGCCGCCGCGCCGCTCCGCGGAGGCGGGATTTCTGGGAGAGGCTCGGGGCGCGGACGCCTGGGGACTGGGACGAGGCGGGCCCCAGGCCGTGAAAAAAACAACTCGAAGGGTCAGGACCTGTGGGGACCGCCCCCCAAAAAAAACATCGCATGCCTGGGGAGCCACCCTCACGATAGGCACCCGAGCAAGCGAAGCCCTTGGTGAGCGCACCCCCTGAGGAAGGAGTCAAGCAGGGTAACTAGGGCTGTTGGGCCCTGGTCATGGTGCTAGGGGCCAGCAGGGTAACTAGGGCAAGCAGGGCCCAGGGGCTTCTCTGCAAACGCCATGGTGGTGCGCGGCGGGGCGGCTATCCTCCCCTGACAGGCCCTCGCGGATGGCCCGAGGCACGTGCGCGGACGAGGGGGGGGCATGGAACCCAGACCCCCGACGATATGATTTGTTCATCACGTCGACCCCAAGAGGTCTCGACCCATTCCCCGAGACCGGTTTTTTTCATCCTGAGTCGTTTTGTTGACGGTCCTGAGACCCGGCCAGGGCCCCAGAGGCTGAAAATGGCCCGAGGGGGGCAGGGAACGCACCGAGAGAAGAGACGGAGGCACGAAACCGGGGAGATCTCATGGCCCCGGCAGTGATACCCACCACTCCTCCTCCTCCTCCTCCTCCTCCTCCTCCTCCTCCTCCTCCTCCTCCTCCTCCTCCTCCTCCTCCCTCCTCCTCCTCCTCCTTTCCTCCTCCTCCTCCTCCTCCTCTTCCCTCCTCCTCCTCCTCCTCCTCCTCTCCTCCGCTCCTCCTCCTCCTCCTCCTCCTCCTCCTCCTCCTCCTCCTCCTCCTCCTCCTCCTCCTCCTCCTCCTCCTCCTCCTCCAGGTGGTCCTCATCCCCCCCCCTCGACGCGCGGTGGCTTGCGGTTCACAAGATCGGGCACATCCCGCGGCCGCTCGGGGTAACCTGGGCACCCCACGAACAGCCGCCGACGAGGCGCAGCTGCTGGAGAGCATCCCCGATGCCAGGGGACCTCCAAGAATTAACCAACCGCTCCTCCAAGAGCCAACGACAGAGCCCCCACGTGAGGGGCAACGATGGGGGGGGACTGGCTCGGGGGGGGGGGGGGGCATCGACCTGGAATCGGCGATGCATCGCCGATAGCTCGGCGATAACTCAGCCTGTCGATGGCGAACCCTCTCGCTCCTGGGCAGTGTGGGCTGTCGGGCCCCCTATCGGCGATCAAAGGGCACGCTGGGGGGCCGACGCGCCACCCCCTGACTCGCCATCGCTCGGACGTCCATCTCCCGTGCACTTGTTCGGTTTCGTGCGTGCTTTTTCCCCAAACAGCTTGCTGAACGGGGTGCTGTTGTGATAGAAGCTAACTCCGGCCGAGGGAAAGCTAAGCAGAGACATCCTCAAACAAATGTGGTGGTCCGGCCCGTTTCGCCTGAGACATCCTCACAACTATCGTTTCTGAGTTGTGTTTTGTGCTCGATGGTCCAGGATGGTCCTCGATGGTCCTCGCCGAGAACAACAAAAAAGGCACACGTCCGAGCGGTGCCGAGCTGCGCCTAATTAATCCCCCCACGCGCTGCCCCCCCTCGGCGTTCGGAAAAAGATCTCGGGCCTCCGGCGGCCGCTCGGGGAGACCGGGGGGCACCCCCGCAGCGGGAGAGCCCAGAATCGAAGCGACGGATCGGATCGGCAATCGGCACGAATCGGATCGGCGGAAATCGGCAGCCGAGTCGGAAAAGGTCGAGTCGGCGGAAAAATCGGCAGGCTAGTGTGCCTCCAATCAGAGATCGGAATGCAGAGCGGAGGCCCAAAAGTCGAATCGAATCGGAATCGGACTCCATCGGAGTCGAACCGAATCGAATCGGAGGAGTCGAAACGAGCCCTGCCGCAGCGCCCTCGGCATGGCGCAAGAAACTGCTGGAGGCCATCCCGAGCCTGGAAGAAGCCGCCGAGAACCTGCGAGAAAACGCCCAGAAGCCAGCCTCTCCCTCCTGCATCCGTGCGGTGCGGGGGAGGGGGAGGAGGAGGGTGAGGACCAGCGCAAGCGGGCGAGGGCCAGGGCAAAACCCAGGGCCCAGCACCGATGCTGCAGCGAGCCCTCCCTCGGAGTTCTTTCCAGTGCACCCTGCGAAATGCTTAAGAAATCATGGATAAAGAAACTCAGAGTCTCAGAACTTGGATAAAAAACCCAACATGTCTATTAAAATGTTAGGATTCACACTGAAACATTAAGAATGATCGAGACTCTGGCCGAAAACTTAGGTTTTCTTAAGCATCGCCTAAGGTGTAGGCTCCTAGAGGGATCGATCCTCACTGCGGGGAGAGGCCCGAGGGAAGACGTCGGTCCGAACATCCGCACGCCAGAGCGCCATTCCTGGGACGCCAGCGCCGCGACTCAACGCTACGACCTGGCGGTCCAAAGTGCCAGAACACCATGTCTGCGACGTCAGCACGGCGAATCGACGGGGCTGCCGCGCCCTGGCGATCCGAGATCGTGCCAAAACACACATGTTGTTTTTCTGGGACGTCGAGCCATCAGAGCCCTTGGAACTGCTGTACGCCCTGCCAACCCGTCTCGGGGTGCGGCAGGAGAATGAGGAGGAGGAGGAGGAGGAGGAGGAGGAGGGGGAGGAGGAGGAGGAGGAGGGGGAGGAGGGGGAGGAGGAGGAGGAGAAGGAGGAGGGGGAAGAGGAGGAGGACGACGAGGAGGAGGACGACGACGAGGAGGAGGACGAGGACCACCCCCATCTTGGACCCCCCCTGCCGCGCGCCTCCGACGCCCGCGCGGACGCGCGGCTCGACGGCGCCTGCAGGCAGGGCGTGGCAGCGGGCCCCCCGGCGCGGCACCGGCGGCGCCCGCGCGGCCATCGGCGGCGGCCCGCGGCGCCCGCGGGTCGGATCGGCGGCAATCGGCAGGCTAGCAGGCCTCCATTGAGAAAATGGATCCCATATCGAAATCCAAAGTCGAATAAAATCGGAATCGGAATCCAGCGAAATCGAATCGAATCGAATGGGGGGGGACCGAAAGGAGTCCTGCATGGATGCACGAGGAGGGCTAGAGGAACAACCACGGAGAGACCCGAGGAACCGCGAACCCCTTCCGAACCCGACGCGGCCCTTGTTTCAGCGTCTTGACTGTAAGTCGGGGATCTCCGGGGTCCAGTGGCTCGGGACCTGTGTCGCTGTGCCCCTCCTCCTTCTCCTCCTCCTCCTCCTCCCTCCTCCTCCCTCCTCCTCTCCTCCTCCTCCTCCTCCCTCCTCCTCCTCCTCCTCCTCCTCCTCCTCCTCCTCCTCCTCCTCCTCCTCCTCCTCCTCCTCCCCCCCCCGCCCTGCTTAGCGTGTCGCTGCGGCGGCCCTGGCGACACGCTACGCTGTGCCCTGCGAGCCGATAGCGCGCCGCTCCGCTCCGCGGGGCGTGGACGCCCCGGAAAGGCGCGGGGCCGTGGACGCCTGGGGACCGCGAAGGGGATAGCACGTCGCGTCGAGGCGTGGTGGGCCAGACACGGCGGCGCGGCACGCTATCCAAGAGGCCTCGGCTGGAAAGTCGGGGATCTCTGGGGTCCAATTGCTCCGGGGGATGCGTCGGGCGCTGCGGCCGTTCTGGGGCGCCGCGGAAGGCTCTGAGAGCGGTCACAAAGTAAGAGTGCCCCAAGGCTCATGCAGCCCTGAGAGGCAGAGGGGTTGTTCTCAAGGCGCGCCCCCGGTTTCCCAGGCGGTCCCGTGCGGTGCACGGATGAGTCGCGTGGGCCACGTGGGGGCGGTGGCGCCGTCGAAAATGACCCGAAACAAACCGCAGAATTCGTCAGAAGCGCCCGAGAGGATCAAAGAGTGCCCTGAGACGGCCCCTTCAAGGCTTCAGACTGGCTACGATGCGCTCCAGATGGCCCAAGACGCCTCCAAGACAAGCCTCCGAGAGCACCCTCTGGGTTCCGAAAGGTCAAAATCATTGATGTTGTTTGGCTGTTTGTTGAATGTTTGGGTTGCCCTCGACTTTTCGAGCTCCCTGCGCTACAAGACGGCCCAAGAGGGTTCCAGGACGGACCCAGAGGCGCCCAGGACGGCCCGAGAGGGCAGCTCCAAGAAGGGCCCAAGAGGGGGAACACGAACAGAAAATCCGAGCCTTCCGCCCCAAGAGGCCCCCAAGAGGCCCCCAAGAGGCCCCAAGCACCCCAAAACGCTCCCAAGAGGCCCCCAAACGCCCCCCAAGAGGCCCCCGAAAGGCCCCCCGCAACATCCCAACGAACATCCTAGAGGCTTATAACCGACAACCCAAACACGGTGGCAGGATGGGCCGAAGGTCATTAGATCCGCCGCCCCCTGCTTGCAGGGGTGCACGGCGTGCTGGACGATTCAGGTTTTGGTTTTGGTTCTTTTTCCAAAAGAACTCCCCAGTGGGCTCCGGCACGTCCCGCCGGGGTCCCGGGAGGAAGCCGAAAGGACCTCAATCCGGAAACAAATCCTCCAAAAAACGGCCGTTTCGCTCGGGACATCCTCAAAAAATCGCGAAGATGGCCCAAGATGGCCTCCAAGTCCGCCCGAGATGGTCCAAGACGGCCTCCAAAACGGCCCAAGAGAGTCCAAGACGGCCCAAGACGGCCCAAGAGGCCCCCCAGAGGCCTCCCAGACGGCCCAAGAGGCCTCCAAG